TTAAGATACATATATATGGCTACTGAAAGCTGTTTGATCTCTTGCACAGTTGGTTATTAATGTTTGAGTATAGGCTGAACATATGATACTGTTTGTCAGTCCTCATCTGGCTCTCTTGAAGCAGGTCCTTCTTTGACATCCAAAGATGGCCAATTACCATCCCATCATTCTACTCTTGATCATCAGTAAAGTGACAAAAGGTGTCTTCAACAATACTATCAAGCAGGAGTGACACCCCGTTTAGGACCCATCAAGGCCACTCAGCTCCTGACAGCATTACAGCCTTGAACAAACATGGACACAAAAGCTGAATTCCAAAGGTGAGATGAGAGTGACAGCCCGTGACATCAAGGTCGCATTCGACAGAGTGTGCCATCAAGGAGCCCTAGCAAAACTGGAATCAGTGGGAATTGGGAGCAAAATTTCCATTGGTTGGAGTCGTACATGGCATGTAAGAAGATGGTTGTTGTTTTTGGAGTTCATTCATCTCAGCTCCAGGTCATCCTTTGGGAGTTCCTCAGGGTAGTGTCTTAGGCCCAACCATCTTTAGCTGCTTCATCAATGACATTCCCTCCATCATAAGGTCAGAAGTGGGGATGTTCACCAATGATTGTGTAATGTTCAGTGCCACTCGTGACTCCTCCGATGCCAAAGCAGTGCATGTTCAAATGCAAGTAAATCTGGGCAATATTCAGGCTAGGGTTGATGAGCATTCGTGCCACACAATGCAAGGCAATGACCATTCCAATAACAGACCATTTTACCACTGTCCGTTGACATTCAATAGGGTTTACATCACTAAACCCACACTATCAACTTCCTTGGGGTTACCATTTACCATTCCACTATACTTGCCACATAAACACTGGCTACAAGAACAGGTCAGAATCTAGGAATACTGTGGCGAAGAAATCACCTCCTGACTTGCCCAAGCCTGTTGACGTAGCACCCTGATTTGGAACTGTATCACTGTTTCTTCACTTCCTTCACTAACAGTACTGTGGGTTTACACACACTTCAAGGACTGCAGCAATTCATGAAGGCGACTCACCACTATCTCAGGAAAATTAGGAATGGGTAACAAGTACTGGCCTGATCCACAACATCCACATCCCACGAACTAATATAAGAAAAACTCACTTGTGTTCGAGTGAAGCATGGCTGGGGGTTCAAAACAGACAGCATAATTTTAAGATGTGCAGAGAAAGATTTAAAAGGAACTCGAGGGGCAATCTTCTCACAAAGAGAGTGGAAATGAACTATCAGAGGAAGTAGTAGATGCAGGTACAGTTACAATATTTAAAAGTCATTTGGACAGGTATGTGAATAGGAAAGGTTTAGAGGGATATGGACCAATGCAGCCAAATGGGATTGGTTTATTTTGGGGAACCTGGTCGGCATGGATGAATTGGACTGAAGCGTCTGGCTGTATAAGGTTCCTGCCTTTATGAATGTGCTAAACATACGAAATAGAGCAATAGTGTGAGCCCGGTATCTCAGGAGCAAGGTACAAAAAAAGAGAAGGCAAGGTATGATAAAGCAGGGATGTTGTGAGCATTCAGGAAAGTTCAAAGTGAGCGAGCGCTAACAGAGCAAATGTACAGACCAGAGATGCATCCGAGTGTAAAGTGTCCTTGTTGCAGCATTACAATGATAGTTGCCGTTGCATTTTCAGGTGCAGAACTGAAGTGCAGAAACATACTGTAAGATGCACCCTGAAGTTTGTTAAAAGCTAGCTCACGTTGGATTTCAGTGTCCATGGATATGGGGAGCATGTGAATGGTGTCCATGGAGCATGTCCTGAGATGTTGATGCCTGATGTCAAACATGGAGATCCTCTGGATCAACTGACAAGCTGAAGTCACAGGTGGGTACCCACTTTGACTTCCATGTTGAGAATTCTTGACGTTTAGTTTGCTTGCAGCAAGTTGTAGGATAGAAAGATGCACGTTAATGAGGTGAGATATACAGTTATTAAGGTTGATAACCAGTAATAATCCCCCTTAACAGCAAGTTGTACCTTGACACTTGAAACTTACTTAAAAGGTGCACAGAGTTGCTTTCGACATAAGATAGGCCTTGCTGGGCTTCTTGCGCAATTCTGCCACATTTTCTGCAATAGTCCACATCACTCAGGCCCTTATAAGCTTCCAGCCATTTTGTTTCTATGTTGACTTTAATATACAAAGCTGTCTGAATGTCTTTCACATTGACATCATTTTTTATAAAATGGACGCTATGCCAAAGAGGAAATATTAGACAAAGTAAATAAAAATTAGATTAAAAAAAGATCAGTTTTAAGGACAGGGCTCCTCCTTTGAAATGCAGAGATTTCTATGATGTAGGTAAACATGGCAGCACTTTTCTACGCAGCAGGAGTCCACAAACAGCAATGAGATGATTGACCAAATGATGTATGGCAACACTTGAGGGAAATGTTGGCCAGGATGTACGTCATTCCACTGTTATTTGAATGGCATTCCAGAATCTTAAAATGTTCAACCAAACCACAGGAAAAAATGATGGCAACAGTGCTTGACATTGCATCTGTAGATGGCACTTCCAACAATACAGCACTTCCTCAGTACTATACTAAAGTGTAAGATTAAAGAATGATATCCAACTTCTTAAATACATAACCTAAATAATCAGGTTTAAACATATAAAAATATGAATTAGGAGCAGAAGTAATCCAAGTGAGTCCAGACAGCACAGTGCAAGAGTTAACTTCCACAACTTGCCAAAAAAAATATACAGACATTCTGGAATCTATCCCGAACTAACCAACTGAAATCAACTTTTTTTGCCAGAAGTAATTAACTAGTTTGGATAGCCACTATTCTGTTCCTAATGGTTGGAGGAAAAAGATGATTACTATTAGTACAATATTGTTTTGCGCTTAATTCATAGGGGTCAGAAATTTGAAGCCTTTCTGGCACTCTCCAGGGATTCTGTGAGACCTTGTAAGGAGAGACTCTATCCACCCTAAACAAGGTCTGTTGTGTGGTAAAGGGATGTGGTGGCCAATTACTCCCAAGCCCAAGCGATCCCACATCCTTGACCTACCACAGTCCCAGCAGATCCTTAGAAAATGAGACCAAGACTGCTGGTTAACTGAATGGTATAGGTGGAGGCCACCCTGGCGGCATACATTTAGGCTTGGAATGCCAAATTTTTTTTTCAATTTCATCATGCCAAATAACACAGGGTGGACAGTAATTTGACAATCTTGTGCAGTAATCTTTTAGGAAGGAGCCTTGAAGCTCAACCTCTTTGGCCTACTTCTGCTGGGGTTCACAGCTTCTGGAGCAATAGATGCCTGTTGAAAAGCAATATTCATCATTGCAATGTCAATGAAAAGACTTTCATCCGAATCCACAAATCTCAGCAGGCTCAGTGCCGATAGTCCTGGACATATCCCATCCTTGAACATCTTTCAGACAGGGTCACAAGAATATTTAGGTTGGGATTGAAAATGTCACACTGGAGGCAAAACTTCTTTGACTGTTGAGATATGAAATATGCTTGGGCTAGACTGGGAAGTGCCCCTAACATCAACTGGACCTTCGTCAGGACTGCTCAATACTTAGATACAAGAGATGAACAAATGTCCCACATGCAGCAAAGAAATCTCCAAAATCAAGATGCACCTAAAATATGAAATTGGGTTAAAGAAAGGCAAAGTTCTAGTCGTCAATAAACATCAGTCATTTGGTAGCACTAGGATTTTCATACTCTCTCTGATGACAATAACATATAAAGATCCTAAATTCAAATCCAGTGCCACTCACCCATAAATCAAAGTGTACACTGACTTCAAATATCTCCTAGTCCAGCAGCAACTTGATTTTAAAATTTTAATGCCATTGCTGAAATTTTTCCATAGCCTTGTCTATCCCTACTTTTCTAATTTTTCCACTACTTTGACATCTCAATTTCTCTAATTCTACTGCATCTATTATTTTTATTGTCCTCCTATTGCTGTCTGTGCCTTCAGCTGTCTAGACCCAAAAACCTAAAATTTCCATCCGTATCTCTTCACTTCTATCGCTCCTGAAATTGCTCCTTACTATCAACTTCTCAGTCAAGATTTTGGTCACTTGTGCTAATACTCCTTATGTGGCTGGCTGTCAAATTTTGTTTGATAATGCTCCCGTTCACCCAACATCAGCCTAAACTCAGAAAAGCAATTTGCAAATTCCCTGGTTTGGAGTATTGCATCATATGGGTGTGAGGACAGGACCCTAAATAGAGCAGAGGAGGATTACAGTTCTTAAAATGTGGCTAAGGAACCTTAGAATCAGCTGGACTGAGTGAAGAATTAGTTCATTTGAGTCAGGTACCACAGGAAATATCAGACCCCAATACCTTGCACACCTTTATCTGCAATGCAGAAATGGAAATTGAGAATGTCTGGTTATTGGAAAAGACGGTGAGAGTCTTGTGTTGGCAACAATAAAATGGAAATGGTCACAATTAAAAGAATAAGTCAGGTCAGAGATGGAATAGATGAGTGGACAACATCAGAACTAGATGGGGGGAAGAATGACACCAGCAGTGAACAAAGAGAGATGTATTCGGGGCCCTCTGTACTATGGCTAATTATGAATGGATGAAATTTTCTTGGGGCTTTTGACTACACTAAAGATATTTTTATTATTGCTGTACAGCATCAAAAATACAGGCATCTCTACTAGAAATTTGGACAGATTTCCTCTTCCACACAATTCCCAGAGAAAAAATGTGATACCCTCAATAGTTAAATAGCCTACTAACAGTCTTGCTTAGATTCACACATGTAGATTGGTTTTAAAGGGAGGCTGACAATTGTGGAAACATGGAATGGATTAAGACCTCTGAGAGCACAGGGATGAGTCGTGGGAGTTGGCGGCCAATTTAGAAAAAAGTATTTTAATTAACGATCATGAAAATTGCTTCAATAAATATTGTGACAAGAACAGAAAATATGACTTGTAATATTTATTTTACATTTGGTGGAATTTCACATAATATATACACAAGCCAGGTGTGAATGATCAGGGTTAACTGCCTGCTCCTTCTCCTCAGAGCCTTGACAGGTTGAACACACTACCTCTGGCCATAGTCAAGAGGTGTCTAAATAAATCTTTCCAAAATAATAACTCACATTAGAAATATGTCGACTCTTGTCCTCCAGCAAGCATAGCTGTGGGGTTTTTTCATACTCCCCTGTCTCATAGTAAGTTGTCTGAAAATAAATAGCAACATCTCCGTGATCAGACAGGGATAAAGTGCAACAACTATGATTTGAGAATTCATGGCGATGTTAAAAGCTTTTGCCTATTGAGATCGTTACATTATTTTCAAATTGTGGCTACAGCTTTAATGTCCATATCTGCCTTTGTATCATCTTCCACAATAACATACCCATCCCTCTTAATAAAGGTCACAAGTTATTTATTTCTTTTAAGATATTGTTATTGTTTTGTACATTTATCAGTCTTCTTCTTAGGCAATGCCTCAGAATTGAGAATGACTTTCTTCTTCTCTGGTCTTGTGGGGTCTGAGGTGACTATGTATTCCAATGCTGGATCTGCAAAGTCTGTGACAGTTTTATTAATTCACTCGTGGTTTGTGCGCACTACTTGCTGGCCAGTATTTATTGCCTGTCCTGCCTTGAGAAGGTGATGATGAGCTGCCTTCTTGAACCGCTGCGGTCCATGAAGGTTGAAGCATAATGCCCTTAGAGAGGGGATTTCAGAACCTTGACCCAACATCAGTGAAGGAATGGTATTATATTTCTAAGTTAGGATGGTGAGTGGCTTGGAGGGGAACTTGCAGGTGGTGATTTTATCATATATCTGCTGACTTGTCTTTCTAGATAGAAGTGGTTGTGGAATGAAAACAAAGTTGCTGGAAAAGCTCAGCAGGTCTGGCAGCATCTGTGAAGGAACAAACAGAGTTAACATTTCGGATCCAGTGACCCTTTCCTCCTCTGAGGAAGGGTCACTGGACTCGAAACGTTAACTCTGTTTTTTTGGTGAATTTCTGCAGTGCATCTTGTAGATAGTACATACTACTGCTACTGAGTCAGTGGTGAAGAGAGTGGATGCTTCTCAATGCGGTACCAAGTGGGATGCTTTGGTCTGGATGGTGTCAAGCTTCTTGAATGTTGTTGGAACTGTAGTCCTACAGGCAAGCAGGGGGCTTTCCATCACATTCCAGGTTTGTACGCAACTGAATGGTAAACCCCAGGATGTTGACATTGACATTCAGTGGTGTTACCATCATTGATTCCTCAAAAGACCAGTGGTTAGATATTATTGGAGATGGTCATTGCCTGACATTTGTGTGGCACAAATGTTACTTATCACTTATCAGCCCAATCCTGGATACCCTCCAGGTCTTGATGCATTTGAATATGGACTGCTTTAGTATCTGAGGAGTTGTGAATGGTGCTGAACTAGGAGAGGTCGGACAAACTTTGATTGTTTTTGCTAGAGGGTTGGAAGCCAAGGGGTGACCTGATAGAAGTATATAAAATTATGAGGGGCATGGATAGGTGGACAGTCAGTCTCTTTCCCCAGGATGGAAATGTCAAATGCTAGGGGGCATAGGTTTAAGGTGAAGGGGGGGGGGGGGGGTAGTTTAAAGGAGATGTGAGGGAAGCTTTTTAAACACAGAGGGTAGTAGGTGGCCGGAATGTGCTACCAAGGTGGTGGCAGATGCAAATATGAAGTAAAGTTTAAGAAGCACTTATCTGTCTAAGTGAACAGACCGAGTGGGTCACAGACCATGTGCAGGCAGTTTGAATTAGTTTAGAATAGGATCATAGTTGGCACAGACATGGTGGGCCAAAGGGCCTGTTCCTCGTTGTATTGTTCTATGCTCATAATATTGTGCAATTATCTGCAAATATCCCCGCTTCTGACCTTATGATAGAGGGAACGTCATTGATGAAGCAGTTGAAGGAGGCTGGGGCCAGGATACTACCCTGGTGAACTCCTGCAAAGCTATCCTGGAGCTGAGATGACTGATCTTCAACAACCGCAACCATCTTCCTATGTGCCAGCTATGACTCCAACCAGTGGAGAGTTTGCCCCTGATGCTCATTGATTCCAGTTTTGCTAGGGTGCCTTGATGCAGTCTTGATGTCAGGGGACACACAGTTTTTGCTGGAGTGGGTGGTAGGATGCTCAGGTTTCTGCATGCTCCTCCTGCTATTTGGCCTTCATCTACATTTATACAGTCATAGCGTCATAGAGTTGCATAGCATGGAAACAGATCCTTTGGACGAACTCGTCCATGCCAACCAGATATCCTAAATTAAGCTAGTCCCATTTATCAGCATTTGGGCCATATCCCTCTAAACCCTTCCTAATTATGTACCCATCCAGATGTCTTTTAAACATTGTAATTGTACTAGCCTCTACCACTTCCTCTGGCAGCTCATTCCATATACATGCACCACCATCTGCCTGAACAAGTTGCCCCTTAAGTCCCTTTTAATTCTTTCCCATCTCACCTTAAACCTATGCCGTCTAGTTTTAGACTTCCCCACCCTGGGGAAAAGACCTGGATAATTCACCCTATCCATGCCCCTCATGATTTTATAAGCCTCTATAAAGGTTACCCCTCAGCCTCCGATGTTCCAGGGAAAATAGCCCCAGCCTATTCAGCTTCTCCATATAGCTCAAACCCTCCATACCCAGCAACATCTTTGTAAATCTTTTATCTTTAGAAGAAGATTGGGCTAACCTAGTGCAGATGTTTAAAGTCATGAGATGTTTTGATATAGAGGATGCAAACAGAATGTTTGCTGTTGTGGGAAAGATCATAACTGGAAACTACCAAATAAGATAGTCACCAAAATACAAATATCCAATAGGGGTTCAGAGGAAAGTTGTTCAGCCAGAAAGTGGTGAGAATGAGGGGCTCACACCTTTTTGTTGGAAATGCTGGTGTCCTTTCGTATTACTACTTCTGCAGTGACAGCAGTCTTGGGTGGTGATTCCCACAAGTCATGGAGATATTGTATTCTTTTTTCCATTGAGACTTGGAAAATGTCATTGAAGTGTTTCCTCTGTCTTGTTGGTAACCACTTGCCATGAAGCTTTTTGTCCTCTATTCATTTTTATGGGATGTGGGTGTCGCTGGCTGGCCAGCATTTCTTGCCCATCCCTAGTTGCACTTGAGAAGGTGGTGGTGAGCTGCCTTCTTGAACCACTGCATTCCTCCTGCTGTGGATTGAACCATAATGCTATTAGGGAGGAAATGCCAGGATTTTGACCCAGCGACAGTGAAGGCCTAGGTCGATGCCAGGTGATCCGTCCAGTTTCATTTCTTTAAGTCTTTGTCGCAATTGGTACAACTGAGTGGCTTGCTAGGCCATTTCAGAGGGCAGTTGAGAGTCAACCACATTGCTGTGAATCTGGAGTCACATGTAGAATTCCAATTCAACCATCTGCCGTGGTAGGATTCGAATCCCCAGAATATCAGCTGGGTTTCTGGATTAATAGTCTAGCAATAATACCACTAGGCCATCGCCAACCACACCACACCACACCACGAGTGGAGATTTTGTTTTGGAAGTCTCGTGCCAGAAATTCGGACGATGTGGCCCGCACAATGCTGAATTGACTGCAACCAACACTTCAATACAGGGGATTTTAGCCTGAGAGAAAGCGCTAATGTTGGTGCGTCTATCCTATCAGTGGATTTCCGGGGTTTTGCAGAGGCTTTGCTGGTGATATTTCACAATGGATTTGCGATATTTGCTGTATATTGTCCACCCCTCAAACACAAAGGGTAGATAACACTGCTGTGCTACAGGCTATGAAGTTGGTGTCAGGCATGAGGTCTTTGTCACCAAACAATTTGCTCTTCAGACAGCCAAAAGCTGAGCTGGCACACAACAGGCAATGCTGAATTTCACAATCAGTGGTTGCTTTCGCTGAGATAAGGCTCCCAAAATGTGAAAATTGTTCCATATTAACTAGTGACTCTCTACTGATTTTCACAGTGTGGCACAGCGTGGATCGGGTGAGTGTCGTGCCTGAAAACAGGCTAGTAGAGGATGTTCGTCTCCCAGATATTTAGCCAATGTAAATGCATCAACGACAGTTTGGACCTTGTCCTCTGAATGTCTGCACTAAAAAGCAAGGCATGGCAAGGAAAGGCAGGAAGAGGTAGGGATGCTGTGAACATCCAGACAGGTGTAAGATGAGTGAGCTGTAGGAGAACGAGTGAACAGCCCGGAGATGGGGCCTGGTCAAATCCATGAGTTGGGTGACTGTCAAAGCATACAAATTGCAATGAAAAGAGCAGGGGCATGCCAAAATGCTGCATTACAATGCAGAACTGTACTGTAAGAAGATTGGAGATGTATCATGATGTTGTGAACAGGCTGCACATGTCAGATGCCAAGGTCATAGTGTGCATGAGCTGCTGCCCATAGAGTGTGCTTTGAGATACTGGTGCCGAGCGTCAAAGATACAGGGTGGGAGCAAACAACAAGCTGCAGTCAACTAGTACACACTTTGACTTTCAATGTCAGGAATTCTCAGTACCTATTTCTATTTGGAAAATCTCAGAGTAGAAACCTACATATTAAGGAGATGAGATTTGATGCTGTTTAAGGACAAAAGCAAGGAATAATTCTTGTTATTAGGCATCTCACAACAAGCCTAGCAAGATTCTCATCTTGAGGCCAGGAACTCTGTTGGACAAAAAAAAGCTTCGCTGGGCTTCTCATGCGACTGTACTAGATTTGTCACCGTGGCTCATGGCGTTCAGGGCCTAAAGATTCTGCCGATCTGGCATTAGCGTTGCCGTGTCTGGTGCATCTACTGTAGCCATCTTCCCAAAAATTAAACAATGCCATTCATTAACATGCTGTGTAGCAACAGCAAAGAAAAACAACACTTAGTTAAGCTTTTCTAGACAGTAATTCTGTTGTTTGCAAATCACACTTTTAAACACAGACTACAACAAATGCAACACAATATTTAAAAATATATCAAGGCCAAGCTTAGTATGGACCTGCAATATTATTTCCATTTGGAACCTCAAATAAAACTCAACATTTTTTTTATACTGACAAGACATCACAAACATAGGCACCAACACCGTGTGACCTGATGCCTGCATGCTATGATGAACAAGTTTTTTTGGCCAGAATATTGTTGCAAAAGTCACCTCCTGAAATTCAACTCAATCCTTCAAACAATAGCTCTTGTTTCAGCAGCT